CTGAGGGTTGCGATCCGTTGCCAGACACGGAAAAAAGACAAAAGACAAAAAAAAAAAAAAGTCCCAAAATTTGGCTTTGTCTGATTGTTTCCAAATGATTAGATTTACGTTAAACATTTCTAGCAATACCATAAAGACAATGCTGTGTCCTTCTCAGTTTATTTCATCAAGAGGCCAAATGTCAGTTTGTCCCATTTTTCAGTGATATTGATGTTTCATCATTTGGTTAGGGTGGTATTTCCAGATTTTTCTACTGTATTAAGTACTGATTTCCTTTTTTAATTAATAAATTATCTGCAGAGTGTGGCTTTGTGCGAATATCCTGTCCCAATAACCATTCACCCAATGCATTTGGCATCAATTGATGACTCATGCCTGAACCATGTATTACAATGCTGGTTGGAAAACAGTGATTTTCTACCTCTATTATTTGTGCCATCTCCATTTGTACTAACTCATATTCTTCTGTAACAAAGCTTTCCCATTTTTCAAAACTCAATATAGAGAATTTTTTTTTAACAAAATCAATGTATGGAAATATATTGCCATTATTCCTTTTAATGATTCCAATTTTCCCATATTGGCAGGCCTTGTAAGCTGGGTCCTGAGTACTTCTGATGTATCTCGGTTTGGGGGGCACTTCCTTAGTATCTAGCATAAGATGTTCTGGACTCACCTTCCACTTTTCCTGTCGCACATCTGAAATCAGCCATTTCTTCAAGGAGCAAACCCTGCTTCCTTTTGGTGGGAAAGGAAACTTAGAAACCAAGATGTGTGTCCCACGTATGCTCACTGCTAGGGGGTGTCACCGCCTCTAGGCCCTCACAGTATGCACTGCTAATACACTTATTTTCTTTAAGTCATGAGCTCAATACCAATATCTCCAATTCTAATCCAACACTACTGTCTCTTCCTCTTTCCCTCAATCTATATTTGCATTTCCCTTCTCCTAGAGAATCTGGTTCCNAAGATGTGTGTCCCACGTATGCTCACTGCTAGGGGGTGTCACCGCCTCTAGGCCCTCACAGCATGCACTGCTAATACACTTATTTTCTTTAAGTCATGAGCTCAATACCAATATCTCCAATTCTAATCCAACACTACCGTCTCTTCCTCTTTCCCTCAATCTATATTTGCATTTCCCTTCTCCTAGAGAATCTGGTTCCCAAACATTAATATATCTACTCATTTGCTCTGTCTTATACTATATACAAAATAGTTTCAGAAATACCACACCAACACCACCAAAAAACCTACGTAAAAGTTCAAGATTTACTTTTTCTGCAGCTGATTTCATCTTTTGACTATATCCCATGGAGGATGTTCAGAGTACTGTGTTCAAAAGTTACTTAATTAATTATTTTCTGTCAGAGTCATCTGTTTCAGTTTACATTCAGTTACAGTTTTTTTGAGTTTTCTTTTACAATTGTTTTACACAATATTTTTTTGACCACACAGAAAACTGTCTCTATCTGAAGTTTCAGGATTCTCAGTATTTGCTGCTTCCTGCTCTTTGTTCTATCACAGTACCTGTCTCCACACTGCCTTCTCCTTCACAAACAGCTTAGAAGATGTCAGCTTCTGTCACAAACAGCTTAGAAAATGCTACATAAAACTAAGTCTGAACCTAATATAATCAGAAATTGTAAACAAGAGGTGTTATAAAGGAATATAGCCTTGGAGGGGAAAAAATGAGATGATCATTGGAAACATTTTCATCAGTAAAAAAAATACTAATACATTTGCTTATTATTGCCATCAGCAGAACCTATCCTCCATGAATTGATGTAAGACAGGCTTGGATTAAGTACAAATCCCTCCAATTTATTTTGTCCTTATTCTAGTGATACTGACACACACAAAGGAAAGAGAAAGTGTTCTAAACTAATGATTACAGGGTCTTTATTTATTTATTTTTTTAAAAAAGGTGACTGGTAATGGGATCTTAACCCGACTTGTTGTCAGCACTACGCTCTCCCAAGTGAGCTAACCGGCCATCCCTATATGGGATCTGAATCCGTGGCCTTGGTGTTATCAGCACCACACTCTCCCGAGTGAGCCACAGGCCGGCCCTGATTACAGGGTCTTTAGATGAATGATGGTATAAGTCAACCTATAAAAGGAACATACAACTTGTTATGTGGTCTTATAACTGAAGCAAAAAGTTCCAAATCACCATTTTAACAGTGATTAACTCATATGCCATGTATCACTTAGAATAGGTAACTGACAAAAACTATCAATATATTAATATGACCATTGAATAAATAAGCCAAATATAAAATTTTATGAAAAATCATTAATGTACTACCTAAGTTTTCTGAAAAATATTTCATACTTAAGTTAATATAACTAGATTATATTAAAATGGCACAAAATCAATTCTACTGTCTTTATAACCACCAAACATCCATAGTAATAGGATGCTCACTTTGTTTTTACAGGTTCAGAGACGTCCATGAGACTGTGTCAAACATTTGTAACAACGTAACACCATTTTATTTAAAAATAATCCTTAAGATAGAGATTGAATTTGGACTCCAGTTGAGAAATATTTAAACTACTTAAAGTTCTAAGTAATAGAAACACTTTTTCAAGACTCACAATCACTACAAATTTCTAACCAAGTGTTCCTTCTGCAATGTTTTGTTTATGTTGTTGGCAGAATAAACCTAGATTTTTTTTTTTAATGTGGTTATTCAACTAGTTCACACCAGGGAAATTCAATATGCAAATTTTTTAAACACACTGACAACAGTAATTAAGTTAGTTAAATACACATAAAGGTGGAAGTGCTGAAAAAGGAAAATATTTTCAATTCCTTTTAGTATTAATTTTACAATCTACATAAAATTATAAAGTGAAAGTACCTCTCCTTAATACAGACTATAATGAGTAAACAAGAGCAGTGCAACTTTATAGTTGGTATTTAATGTAAATAAAACCTTTTTGACATACCTGTGGTTTCTGTTTCTTTTTCTTCTGTTTTTTAGAAAGCCTAAGAGCAATATAAATCAAAATGTTAAATACTTGACTTTGTGAAAACTTACTAAGTAAAAAGAAAAGATACTGAAACAGTGATACAGAGAAAAATAAAATACTAAAAAAATTTAATATCATAAAGCATTAAAAGGAAAAGGAAATATTCACACTGTCATTTCAGAGAATAGTAACAGTGGTTCAATGGATAGCAAATAACGTATCAGTTGCATAGGTGTAAAAAACTGCTTTTAATATAGTCAAAATATATTCTGTAAAAATTATACTTGACATCATGTCTTTACCCAGTTCAGTACTATAAAGTTCCATTAACTAGAAGAGATGCAGAAAATATTACCACAACAGAATAACTTCCTTGGGATAAAACAGCATTTAAATGCAATCTCTGAATGTGATAAGTATGTCTAATGACATTTAATATTGAGAAATACTTTTGTTTTGGTGCATCTTCCATTTCTTCCTCAGAAATGGCATTTAATGGATTTTCATCAGTTTGAGGTCCTGAAAAGTTTTCTTCCTCCTCCTCCAACTGTTGTTTCAATAAGGCAACCATTTCTCGATGCTTCTTTGACTTTTCATGATTCTTCATGCTGAAAGAACAATCTGATGTAAGTAACTGCACTCGGATTAATTCATATGTGCCCCAATACCTTGCTGAATGCTTGCAACCAAGTTGAAATTTACTCTTTTCCTCATTAACTAAGCAAAATGTTGGTGATTTTACAAAGAGAAACAGAACACTGTCAGGATCTTTCAGGCATTAAGCACACTGGAAGCTCTTTCTTGCTGTGTCCCAGTATGCCCCACTTTCTCTGTCCTTTTTTTTTTTTTGGCAGTACCCTTGACCTTGGTGTTATCATCACCACATTCTCCCAAGTGAGCTAACCGGCCAGCCCGTCCGTCCTTTTATCTACAAACATTTTCTTCCCTTTTTTAAAAAACTTTTTTTGGCCAAATTCTCTATTCATTATTTTGATTTTCTTAAAAGTAAAGCCTTCTGTATAATTTCCTTTTAATCACTAAGTGTTTGCTAAGTGCTTCTATGTTCCAGACCACGCTATGGGCTTTAAGGGATCACTGGGAAATTACAGACACAACCTCTAACTTTAAAAGAGGGCTGGTCAAGTAGCTCAGGTGCTTAGAGCATGGAGCCGATAACAAGGTCCAGGGTTCCATCCCTGTACCCACCAGCTGCCCCCCCCAAATAAATAAAATAAAATAAAATAAAATAAATAAATAAAAGACCCACTGGACTGGAGAAATGGTGATGTGAAGGCTTGAAGTACAAGAGTAATTTAGCTCCATTTGCTTTTTTCAACTGTTTTTCACTTCTCGGGAAAGGTTTCCCTTCTCACTCCCACCACCATAAATTTGACTTTAGACAGCAATGTCTGTTTAAGTATGTCTATGGGCAACTAAAAAACATTTCACAAAACAGTTGACAACATAAGCTGTGAGAGTCAGGTAAACTAAAAAGTAGGAAACTTGTGTCACTATCTACCTTATCTCATCCATTCAGATTTCTGGTATCTAGTTTTGGTTGCTACTGTTCCTTTCCACTAAAATTCTCCTTCTGACCCAGATCCCTTAGAGAAATTGGAGCATCTTGTGTCAGAAAGTAAATGCTCAAAAAAAAATGATGGGGACATGTCAAAAGGACATTAGGACTATTTTGAAGGGATTCTCATTAACCAAATCTGGAAACATTTGAGCATGAAAGAGGCAGTAACGAATTATAAAAGATTAAAAGGAATCATACTGATAACAGACAAAGAGATAAATGGGGAAAAGGGAGGGCTCTTGTGCACAGCAGAAGGCCAAAGGCTGACTGATGAATGAGGAGGAGCTCTGGCCCTGGGAAAGCATCACTTGGCAATTATCACAATAAAGACTGGTACAAGCTAAAATCATCAATGACCGCTAAACCTAGGAGGGAAATTTTAATGAGGAATAAGATACTTGCATAGTTTTAAAGTGTCTCCTCCTCACACATTAGACATGTCAAAAACGACAATTTGTTGCAAAGGAAAAAACACTAATTCTGCAGTAGAAAAACTGGACGACACCTTGATTGGGTGATCAAAATGATCACCACTAGTAGGGCAGAAGGACCTTCCCTGCCCCCAGATATGAACTGCTGAGAGTGCCACAACACAGTCTGTGTGGTATCCACCTGGGGATGACTAACCTGAATCTAATCATGAAGAAATGGGCACACCTAAAATGACAAACAGTCTATGAAAAAATATTGTAAAGGACAAGCATACTTCCAAATGTAAATGGCACAACAAACAAGGGAACTGTTCCAGATTAAACAAGACCAAATAAACAAGTAAATGCAATATATGATCCTATATGGGATTCTGTACTGAAGTGGGGAAAATGCTATACAGGACATTAATGAAGGATCAACTGACAAAACTGAAATAGGGGCAATAAATCAGATAAAATTACCATATCAATGTTATAAATTTTCTAAAGTTGAGAGCTGTACTGTTTGTCTTTATTCTTAAGACATATATAGTGAAGTATTCAGAGGTAAAGGAGCATTATATCTGTTACTTTCAAATTATTCAGGAAAAAAACAGAGAGAGAGAGAGAGAGAGTGAAAGTGTGAGTGTGTGTGTGTGTGTGTGCGTGCATGCGCGTGCAGGGAGAGAAAGCGAGCGAGCACATGCCAATAGGCAAAACCTTAGCAACAGGTAAATCAGGTGCACTATTATTCTATTCTTGCAAATTTTCTTTAGCTGTGACATTATTTCCAAATAAAATAATAACTTTTAAAATCTCCTTCATTGTTGCTTTTTGTTTTCTTGCTTGTTTCTAACTTTTCTGCTTCTTGTCACTTCTCTTACCACTCTGTTATTTCTCCCTTGGGTTACAGGGTAAGACTATTTATGACTCCTATATCTTCGTTCGTACCCTTTGGTCTCTGTTCTCCCTGACTGCGTGTGTTTTGCTTCTTTTCTCTTGCTGATTCTACTCTCATTTTCTCCAATGTTCTTTACCCCCTCCTTCATATATCCTTTTTAATATTTCTCTCTTTGTCATTGTTCCCATAAGATAAAGTGCTTCCACTTCAGCAAATATACTCCAGGCAGACAAGTTTAAAGTTCCTAGGTGGGCAGCAACAGCCTGCATGGGACAACGACGTCTGGAAATGAGTCTGATGCCAACAACAGAGAGATGATTAGACGCGGTCTAGCCTCCTCACTTGTGTGAGTCCTTCTTCACCAAAACTTGCAACATGTCTTTCAGGAAACAGTGAACATGTTTAAAAAGCAACTATTCCACAGGAATACTGAGATGTATGAGAATCTGTACAACAGGCTTAAGTACTGCTACAAATACTTCTCCCTCCCCTGCTGGACAGGAATCCCCCAAAATGACACCTGGGGGCTAGTGATCAACAGCTACAAGCATATTCTTTTTAGGACCTTCAAAGTGTTGAATTTCACCACAGATAAAAAGATGAGTTCAAAAACATTAAACTTACGCCTTTTCTGTCTTGAAAGATTTGTCACATGCTGGGCAGTAAAGGTCATCGTAAGGCTCAGTCTCCTCAGCCTCATCACTGTCTTTACCTAGGAGAGGCAAACGTACAGTAAGAATCCAGTTTGGTTAGAAATATAAACTGTTAAAAAATTATATCTCTTAAATAACAATCCAAAGTGGCATACAAATTAGAAACTAAGATTTTTGTTATGTCTTTACAAAAAACAAACAAACAAATAACGCTATCAGGATTTGAGTTGGCTTTTAAAAGAAGCACTGAATTATAAGAAAAGGCTTCCAAATAAATCACGTTATCTTTCAAGTCTTTTTATTAGTCTACTTAGAAAATGATTTTTTAAATTCTCAAAGTCCTGGGTATGAGCTAAGTTTAGAAAACCAAATGCCACTTTAATAGTTCTACCATGAAACAGTTTTTCAACAAAGAGTTTTTCTAGTTTACCCCTGAGCAAGATTTGGTTCAAACACATTTACACCATGATCTACTCTTAAATGCTTAAATAAATTTAGCTTACAACACCCTATCATTATTAGATAAGTCATAAAACAGCATAATACAAGTAAAATTTAGCATCTTTCTCAACTTTTTAAAAATAAGTTTGAAAATTTATTACAATAGAATAATTACTATCAACATAATCCACAAAATCCAAGCAACTAAAAAGCTCAATTGAAATTATTTGCACAATCCCATATTCTACCTTTATAAAAAATAAGTAAATTGACTGCCATTTGGGATTTATTTTTAGGACAATAAAAATCCCAATGAATCTCTTCCATATTCTACATTTTGGCTCTTCATAATAAGTGATGGTAATATGATTTTGAAGGAAATTCTCATTGAAATTATAATCAAAATACATCCTAATGTTAATGTTTAATATATGGTGTTATTTTCCAATTAGTGTATACTTTCAAGATACTGTATGCATTAAATCAAATAGTTAATGAACACTGGATTTGAAGTCAAAACTTGGATCTAAAAATGGTCATGTTCTCAAGCATATACCATAGTCTTAGTTTCTTCATCAATAAAATGGAGATAATCTCATAAGCAAAACCAACACTTCGGTATCATATGAGGATCAAGCAAGATCTTATATGTGAAAGCACTTTATAAATTGTAAAACTATATATAATTAGGCCATCTCACATTTATGGAGTGCTTTATAATTTCAAAGCACTTTTACAAGCACTACTTCTGATTCATTAATAAAATATTTCATTTCTTAATCACTTTGAATAAATAAAAGTCTGTAATTTTATCATTTAGGCTATTAGTCTGAAAAATACATTTGTAGATGAGGAAAAACTGATAAACTATATTTAGATCATTCCATTATATTCCTCATGGAATAGCTAGAGGCAGTGGGGAAAATCAGGTATCCAGCTATTCTCAACAATGCCTCATCCTCGCCTTTTAGTAGTCACATGTGTGCTCTAATGACAGAGGCAGAGAAAAGAAACATTTTGTCATACCAACAGCAGCCACTCAGGAGAGGAAGAATTTATATATACCTCATAGACACCTGCACAATATCCTGTTTTCTGGAAACAGCTGCTATTAAAACATGACTTACTGCTTAATGCATTTCTTTTATAGCCAGTCAGTCCACCTGTCAATATGACCACTTGTCATCACATTTATACAGCCAGAAGCACCAATTGTTTAGAACATGGTCAGAAAAGAGTTTGTTAATCAAATTACCTAAATTAGACTAATTTAATAGACTACCTTTTTTTGGCCCATACATTATTGTTTTTAATTTTAATTATATGTCACATTTAAAAATCGGGAGATGTCATAAAAATCCAGATTTCCAGCTTCACTTAAAAAACAAGCAAAAAAACGAAAACTCTGGCATGGTCCTGCCATCAACTGGCTGGAACTCAGGTGCTTTCCAGGTTTTCATTCGCTCTCCCATTCCCTGTTATCTTATATCTGGGACCCTTTACTGCTGGCACCTGTAAGCATCTGAGTGCATAACCCTGTGACAATAACAGTTCTTTTCTAGGATTTCTTAATGAATGGAGAAAGTTACCATCCTGTCCGTCTTTGAGTTCATGCTCCTCCACTTCATTTTCATCGGATCCATCTCCAAACTCCTTTTCGTAGCGTGCCTCCATCTCCTGGAGCTCCTTTTCCAAATTGGCCATGGTCATCCAGCTCTGTTCTCGGTACTGCTCTGCCAGCCTGGACACGCACAGCACACTCTCACTGACACTGACAGACACATCTCTGCATGGCTTTTACTGATTCTCAGACTTAAAATCCATCCCCTAGAGAGCTTCTTCCTCATAAGCTGTCAATACTTACAAACTTAAAATATGTGCTTAGTTAAAATTGGGCAAAGTCACTTAAACCTGTCACCTGTAATGTGGTTTGATTTTAACTGCTCTACTAGATGATGGGTTTTAAAACATATAACTCTTAGCAGCTTATTAAAAGTCTTCAGATGATTTTAAGTCCTAAGTGTCAAGTGCTAATTTTCCAAAGATGTGGAGTAAAATGTGTAGAATTTTTAATAAGTGAATAATTTTTTAAAAGGATGCTATAATGCTTTGGACACAATGCTTTCCTAGTAACTCCTAACAACAAGTTTAAAGGAACCGAAAGGAACTGAATATCTTAGAGTATGGGGATGAAGAGACAGTACTACATGGGGGTTAAAAGCAGGGGCTCTGGAGCCACACTGCTTGGGTCTCATTCTGGCCCTGCGGTTTACTAGCTATGGGAACTTGCACCTGCCTACCTCACTTCCTCATAAGAAAGGGGAGAATAAAAACAGAAGTTACTTCAGAGAATTACTGTGAGGGAAGTGCTCAGAACAAGGCCTTGCACGGAGTAAAAATTCAATGAACATTAGTTATTAAATTTTACAAGAATATGTAAAGGGTCTCAAGTATAAAAGCCCCTGAAGGAAAACATCCAATTCCTAATAAAAATTTTTACACAGTAGATGAAAAAATACTATCTAATGCCAGAATTAAAAAAAAAAAAAAGATGAAGCCAGGCTGATGAGATGCTTAACCCAGCATGTAAACTCCCGTCAGGTGTCTCCTGACGCTTCCTCTGAGCCCACCTACACTGAGAAAAGGGTCCGGTCCCACATCACGTACTTTGCCTGCTTTAGCTTCTGCTGCCGCCTCATCTCTTCAGCTTTCCTTGCCTTCTCTGCATTCTGTTCTTCCAGAAGTTTCCGATGCGCCTGCACTCTTCTGTCTCGTTTACGAATGAAAGCTACCAGCTGACGGACAAGCTCATTCTTCTCTTTCCTCGCTTTGTCCCGAATCTTCCTGTTTTCCTTCTCCATGGCTCGTTTTTCCCAGCGGTTTGAAGCTTGCCGTGTATCATATTCTTCCTTCCAAGCAAAATTCTTTTGAGTGCAAAAACTCTGCCAATAAGCGTAGAAAGGGTGGACTACCTAGTGACAACGAAAGTAAGTAAAATTCTGGGTTGTTTATTTATTTATTTATTTTTGAAAGACAGCATATGCTAGTGATGCAAAACTTCTTCTGACTTTCTTTTTTCATATATATAACATTCCTATCACCCAATGAAGAAGACAGCCCTTTGAAGGCTTTCCAGAATAAGACAGTCATCAAAATGAATTTAATAAAAAAAGAAAAACAGCCTTACTGACCACTGAATGCGACCATGGTCAATAAATAGGGAAAAGTAAAGAGGGGAGGCTGCAAAAGAGCTGAATGCCCCTTCAGGAAGGGAGAGAGAGGAAAGAGAGGTCACAGAATAGAGGGAAAACCAGAACCAACTTTTTAAAAAATAAGTAAACGGGGAAAAGACACAGTGATAAATGCTAACTATAAAATGCAATGCATTTTTTCTTTTACCGTATCATAGTCACTATGCGAGTCTCCAAAAGTTGGGAAATCTTCAACATCCTCCTCTAATACAGATTCTAGTTCTTCCTTTGCAATCATTTCAAAAACATTACGATACACTGTATAAAAGCCCTGAAAAAAAATAACAGAAATACAAATCATTAATACTTTTGTAGTTTAATCACAAAATAAGATTTAAAAATGTAAAATGAGAAAACTTTAACATAGAAGAATTACAGGACCAAATTCTATCACTGCACGTACATTTAGGTTTCAATTGATGGTTTTTATGTGTCGACGGTTTACATATGAAGGCAACAGATTTTCAGTTTTCAAAATGAACATTGCTTCACTTTCTATTATAAAACAATTTTTAAGAATTCTCTTTGTATTTGAATCTTAAGTGCTTGATAAGAAATTAAGAGAGTTCATTTATCTTACCTTTTCATCATCTCCATACCCAGAGTAACAGGTAACAGTGAAATAATGAAGCAAATCTAAGCTGTCATCTTGATATTCACCATCGAGCCCACCTTTCAGTAGGGCCTCTCTATGATTATCATACCTAAAAAAAAGCATCATCAGAGAAGGCAGAATAAATAAGGATTCAAAAGGACTCCTTACTCTGAATCAGCCAAAATATTATTGTACATTTCAATGTGTACAACCTACAACCAAAACATTTTAAAGAAATATCAACATGAAAACACTTAATAATCTTTCATGGAACTGCTGATTAAAACTATGCCTGCAACTTCTAATACATTATACAATACCAACCCATATATACACGGGAATTAAAAAAGCAAAGGAATTTCCATGACTCTCCTGGAAAGGTAGCTGCATTACTAAATGGACAATGCTGGACATAATCTGGTCCATAGACTAATTATACATTTGTGATCTGGGAGTTTACTTACATGCACCAGAATAAGACTCTTTCTATGTTTATGTGAACAATTAAGGAGCTTCACACACACAATTACTCCTCATAATAACTCTGTAAAGGTTACTATTATCCCTGTTTGATGTAACAGGAAATTGAAGCTCAGTGATGTTGAATAACCTGTTGTCTATAATCATAAACCAGTAAGCAGCAAGGCCAGAATCCCAAACCAGATATCCTGCACTGGAAAGACCAGGCTCCGAGCCACTACATGGTACTGCCTTCAGGTAACAGGAGAGTTACCAGGCAGGAGCTTTAAATAAAAAGGCGAGGGAATCCTTGAGACAAGAAAACAACCTACGATCAAGAGAAAAGGCTGGACGAAAAGAAGTCAGGGAAGAATTTCAAAGTTCTGAGAGGAAGGCAAAAGAATTTCTAAGGCCAGATCTGCAAATTCCTCAGGGAGAAAAAAGTTTAGCATTCTCTCTCTGATTTTCTATGGAAGACAACTGTATAGGAATTTTCTTTACAGTCTTTCTCTCTTGACAGCCAGCTGTGCTGTACACTGTTGAACACACAGACAACTTGCACGGTAGCACTGAGCACTTGCCTACTCCTTGTAACAGCACGATCTTGCACTGTTATGTCAGGGCTTAAAACACGTTCCTTTGTAGCAAAAAGTTAACTGAGAATCTGAAAACTTACAACTTCAAACACAGAAATTTTTGTTTTGGAAATGGCATTGAATTATCAGATTATCATTAGTAAAAGTAGCTATCATAGATGTAGAAGCTTAACTCAGTTTCTTCATTTAAAGTAGTTATTTGGAAAACATTACAATTCTTGTATTAAAACACTGTATTTGTTTTTAAAGACAAGTCAGTAGTCTTCCTGTCTGATATCAGTAAATTTATCATACACCAAAGGGACCACATATAATGAGGAAGTCAGTTGAAGTATCAAAATTAAAACTATGTAACATCACCAAACTTTCAGTTTCATAAAATCAGAAAATTGTCAATGACCCTATATTGACAATTCCTCCCCCCCAAAATTAACTGGGATGGGAAGGACAGCGTGATGCTCACCATGCTCTTTCCTGTGGGTCACTCAACACATCATATGCTGCTTGGATTAATTTAAATTGTTCAGCTGCTTCTGCAGCATTATCCAGATTTTTATCTGTTAAAATAAAGTCACAGAAATTTAGTCATAAAAAAAGTAGAGGACAGAATCTAAATGAGACCTCTTTCATCATAAGTACCATAAATAGATGAGGAGAGTACAAAATAAAGAAAAGCAACCAGAGAAAAATAGACACCTCAGATGACAGATGATCATTAGAATTTGTTATAAGCATTTACTTAAGTGGAACTTTCAGGCTTTTCCCTAAGCCTGGTGTATCACTGAACATTAAATTTGGATATCCACAAATGGAAAATCCTGAGTCCTATATATTTTATTTTTAGGAGGAGTAAAATAAATATATCAAATCAGTTATTTATTTAGTGCTAGATTATGTTTAGTGCTCACATTGCCTTTAAGTTTTTCTTGCTTATCAGTGCATATTAAAATAATTCTCATAAAGTTTCAAAAATATATACTAATTATTGTTTCCTTATCTGTGCTTCCTTAACCATGGAATTCAAAAAGCATCTTTGCCTTAGAGTGATAGACAGCTTCCAAAATGGTACCCAATGATCCCCACCCCCTTGCATTTGTGCCTTTGTGAGGTCCCCTCCCATATCAGCAAGGGTGGTCTGTGTGACCAAGAGCAAACACAGAAGTAACGGTACACCACTTCTGAGATGCACAGCTTCCATCTTGGGCTCTCGCTCTCTCTCGGATCACTCTGGGATTAGCCAGCTGCCATAGCATGAGGACTCACACAGCCTATGGAGAAGCTCACCTGGTGAAGAATGGAAGCCCCAGCTCACAGGCAGTAGAGAACTGAGGCCTGCCAGCACCACATGAGTGAGCCTGGAAGTGGTTCTCCCAGACAGTGATGATACACTATGCTAGAAACCTTGAGCCAAAACCACCCAGCTAAGCCATTCCCAGATTCTGATCCTCAGAAACTGTGGCGTCATCAACCCAACCAGTCTACACTTCTTTTCTTGCCTCCTAGGAAAATGGGAGAAACTATTATGTTTCAAAAATTTTTGTTAGATAGATAAAAAACTATAGTCCAAATTAAATGACCTAGAAGTAGAAAAAGCTAGCAACTGAAACTTCCTACATAAAACAAAAAAAGGCGACTCTTTGGGAGTTGGGGGGGGGTAGTCTTTCTTCCTTTTAAGCAGTAGTGTACCTTGTGGTCCTTCTTCTTCCCAATCCCTTCTTTCCTCCCCCAAAGGAGTAGATTGGAGAAAGCTAAAGCTTTTAAACACACAAACCCATTAAAGCACCATCTGAAAATAAGATCTAATCTCTCACTAGAGCTGCTTTCTTAAATAACTTTTCGACCTGTCATATGGCTTTTTATTTCATCTAAATGCACCTGAACTATTTGACTATAAGGTTGAACTGAGATCTACAGGTATAAGTGTAATAAGTTAAAAAGCAATAATTAAAAAAAAGGGGAAAGTCCACATTTATCATTAGCCAAAGCAAAAGCCTCAGGTACTGCAAATCCAGTCGTGAAAGCTGAAAACGCATCCCCCACTACTCTTTGTGCTTGTCTCTTGACATGCTCCCGCACTATCCTCCTGCCTCCTGAACCTTTCTATAGTACTTCCTGAAATGTCATGGATCAACCTGTCAAGCCCTGGGCTCAACTGAAGCCAGGCTCCCTACAGGCCTCTTGGCTCCTCTTGTCACTCCATACTGCAGTTCTGGAAGTGGAGCTGCCATCTCCCTGGTCACTGATCCTTTACTCACCCACACATTCCTTCGAGATTCAGATCATGTGGCAATACCACCTTCTTCTCCTCCTCCTCTTTGTCTCCTCCTCTCCCTGCCACTCCCCCTGACTCACTGGAAATGTTGGCACTTGGCTCACAGTTTCCATCCCCAAGTCCTATCTGTCATCGAGGGTGACTTCAATGTTCTTTGTCCTCCTGGCCTCCCTACTTCCACTCTTGCTCTTTGCTATCCATTTTCCCCACTATAGCTAGAGAGATCCTTGACAAACGGAAATCTACCATTCCCTGCTTCCAGCTCCTCAATGTTTCCCCATGTGCTTAGGCTAGCATCCTAACCCAGCGTACCACAACTTCCTGACCTGGCCCCTGCTTACCTGGTGATGCTCACCTTCTTTGCCATATTTTCTCCTGCCTCCCTCTACTGTACTTCTTACATTCCCACTTTAGGTCTTAACCTAGATGTCACTTCAGGGACGCATTTCCTGGTCGACTCTCCCCATCTCTCCCACCCACACATAAACATAGACCAGGTTGGGACATGAGTTCATAAGCACCTAGCATCTGCTCTCATACAGCCCTTGTCTCAGCAGACTGAAACTGCATGTTTTCCTATGTGTCTCTCTCTGCAGACTGCACAAGCCAACAGGACAGGGACTATTCCTACCTTGTTCTCATAGCAAAGTGCTCAAGGAATAGCCATTGGATGAATCATTAAAAGCCTGCCCTTAACGAGGAGTGATCTCCCTAGGCAGGACTGTTGACCCTATTGGAAATTATTCTCAGTTCCTCAATAAAAGAAATAAAAATAATTTATTTCCTTTTTTCTTTTTTGTTAATACCATAAAAAGACAGCCTTTCTAATTTAAGGGATACATTCTTTGAAGCAAAGCTTAACCCCAGAAATATCTAACACAATGCCTTGCAAATAGAATGAAATTAGACATTAACAAATTAATAAGCCAGCAAAGCAAACCAAAATCATGTGTCTCTGGGGAGAGTAGAAATACACAGGCATTTTCAAACCAGAAGATATTTAGGATACCATAAATTATGATGATATTCAGAGAAGAAGAAATTTGCATTCGGTTATTGCCAAGATTTGATTTCAAAGTAGTTAACTGATATTTTAATAGAATTTGTATACTTCTTCCTTTCTTCCTCGTGCTGATATCCAATTAACCACCAAATCTGGTAGTTTTTCCTCTGCAATGTCTCTTCCACCTGGGCTCTCGGCCTCCCACTGACCCCGAGCCTGGCTTGGATCCTTCCTTGTTCACTGTGGACTCGTCCCAAATTCTGTCTCCAGCAGTCTCCAAGCCACTAAGTTGCTATCTCAGCTCTCTCCCAAGACAGCTTAATAAAGCTGGCCATGGGCCGGCCCGTAGCTCACTTAGGAGAGTGTGGTGCTGATAACACCAAGGCCACGGGTTCGGATCCCATATAGGGATGGCCGGTTGCTCACTGGGTGAGTGTGGTGCTGACAACACCAAGTCAAGGGTTAAGATCCCCTTATCGGTCATCTTTAAAAAAAAAAATTAATAAATAAATAAATTAAAAAAAAAATAAAGCTGGCCACGATTCTCCATTATTGGCAATACAAATTTCACAGTCCTCAGCCTAACACACAAGGCTCTCTACAATCTGATTTCAAACTACTTTTCGAAAAGATTTTAATACTGTTATCAAAACTGCATAAGCACAGAATGAAATCTTCTGCTTTGCCCTTTCCCATCCAGAAAGTCAAGGAATTCCCAGCTTCCTTCTAATTCCTAACTCAATTTCTAGTGGTAATTACCCCTATTACTTTAAGAATGCGCTTGTACACTATTTTTACACTATTTCTGGATTTACTCATTTTAGCTGTATCCACTGACTTCCTGCTATGATGAACGTTTAGCTCATCTGTCTCTGCACTTCCAATATATTTAAATCACATTTTTGAGTTCCTCTGTTGGTAATTATTACTACTTGAAGTAACGACCCATACCTCTATTTCTTGTTCCACCAAGTACAGACATTCCCTTCTGACTCTGAGTCCCTGCCCTTTCCTTCAACTCTTCTCCTAACCCATATTTTTTACACTTCCAGTAAACACTGCCTTCAGTCAAACTGTCCCCTGGGACACCTTCTGTCCACCACAGTGCTTGTCCCCACACTATTAAGTTCACTTCTCCAAATTCCATTCCTCTAGGATTCAGTCCGAGCTCCTCTGTGAAGGGAAGCCTCACCATCTCCCAGTACTCAGTGATAACTCCCTTCCTGAGTTCCTGGGGCGTTTATTAGTTGTTCTATTAATCCAACTACCAACTGCGTATGTTGTGCTATTTTGTTTGCACTTGAATTCGTATGTGGAAGACGTTTTTCCAACAAAACTCTGAGGTCACTGTCTTAGCATTTCGGCAGCTACACAGCGGTACAGTGTAGTGACTTGCATCTCATGGAGTGACGTGCTAACTGATTAATGCCAATATGAAAGCCTCTTACTACAAAACCTCAAAAGCTGAGATTGAACTACTGTCTTAGTTTCTCCGTTTGGAAGATCAGATTACTACATAAAAGTCACACAGGCCTTTATTACAACCAAAAGAAACATCCAAAAGAAGCACACTGCTAAGTAAACATACATCCCTCACTAGGAAAGTCATATAATTAAAACTCAATCTGCAGAATCAGTCCAAAGTGAAGTACAGGGTCTGCTTAACCAGCCTACTAAAAGCAAAAAAAAAAAAAAGGCATCCCCATTTAAAAGACATTTTACTAGCTCCCTTGTCTTAATCTCAATAAGAAAGGAGTCACAAATTGGGTTTAAGTAGCTGGGATTCCACGATGAAGTTAAGGGCAGCCGAGGAAAAATACGGGGGAGCTGAGCGGCAGGGGGCTCGGGCAAGTGAGTTCCGAGTCCCCGAGTCCTCCCTCGGTGGTGTCTGCGACCGGGTAGGAGGAGCAGGTGAAGCCCCGTAAAGTGGCAATGCGGGAACCGGGGGGCGGGGAGCGTCTGGAAAGAGGTGGGGTGCTAAGCTTGAGCGCAGCCTGGGGCGCAGGGCGGCATCCCCCCAGTGGAAGGAGGGCAGGGCGGCGCGGGGGCCACGGGCCAGGCTACGGGAGCCACAGGGCGGGCAGGCCACGGCTGGGCCGGCTTCCAGGAGTGGTCCGAGGAGAGGGGGCGAGAAAGGCGGCGGAGAGCCGGCGCGGTGGTGACCTACCCGGGTGCCACTTCAGGGCTAGCCTCCTATAGGCCTTCTTGAGCTCCTCCTCGCTGGCATCGCGCCGCACCCCCAGCGCCTCGTAGTGACACTTCATCGCCGGGCCGGGCGGAGGGCTGGGACTGGGGCCGGGGCTCGGGCCCGGGCTGAAGGCG